GGGGGAGATGCAAATTAACAGGAGAAAGCGTCTGATTGTGGTTCTATTGCCCACTCCTGGATTAATCAGCTATGACCAATGAATCAGGGCAGCATAACACAAAATTGCTGCTTTTAGAGGAAGTAAGAATCATTGGAAACTCAAAAGTTAGAGTTATGCCAATAGCCTATTCCCACAACATCATTTAACAAACACGTACCAATGTGGTAACTAAGGCGCTCTGGTGGCGTAGTGCCTTAGGCACTTGACTGCTAACCAGAAGACTGGCAGTTCAAACCCACCAGCCACTCCTTGGAAGGAAGGTTGGGTAATCTACTTCCGTAGTGATACTGCCTCGGAAACCCAAGGAGGGGTCGCTAGGAGTCGAATCAGACTCAACAGCAGTACATTTGGTTTTTAGTTTGGTCAGCTTGGCTGGGCCTGATTTTTGAGTGGCTGGGCAGCTGGATGTAGTATTCCCCATGATGAGACTGGTAATCAACTCCATGGTGGAATCTAGTCTGAGCAGCTGAGTAGCTACCTTAGGAATGTGGTCTGCTTCCAGTATATAAGAAGACATTTTGAGAAAGGTCTGTAGCTTCTTGGTACATCTGGATCCTACATTTGGCCATCAGTGGTCTGCCATATTGTCTACTCACCTTAGGACTGTTTCTGGACTCAGAACTAGTGGCCTGCCATGTTGCTTGATAATCAGGACTGTGCCATTTGACTTGTCGACCTTGGGTCTGTCAGCCTCAGCAGCCAGCAGCTGCCTGAGTTAAGAGATGCCTCCAGCTCCAGTGGGTGGGGAGCAAGAGGCAGAGCTGAAACCCTGGCACTTTGAACTCAGACTTCTAGCTTCCTAAACTGTAAGAGAATAAACTCTTACAAATACCCATTTGTGGTATTTTTTCTGTTAGAGCAGTACTAGATGGGGCAATCTACTTCCATAGTGATACTGCCTCAGAAACCCAAGGAGGGGTCACTATGAGTTGGGTCCAACTCGATGGCATGTAACAACAACAGAGAACCAAAACAACCAGATTCCTCTATTAATCCAGGATTCACACTGGCCGCTAGAGGTATCAATATAAACAAGACAGAGTCTTTATCCTCCAGGAGTCTGTTGTTAAAGCTATTTCTGCACTAAGCACTAAGGGCCAACCTTAGACATAAGTGAGCTGACTTATGTGTATCACGCATCATCAAAGCAAATGTGCCATTCCTGCCCTGCTCCAGCATTAAGAAGGAGAGGTACAAAGGGTTTGTTCTTTCTTTCCTTTCTTATATACCTTATGTTTTTCCCCAGGATCAGGAGCGGGGAATTTGTTTCATCAAGATGTTCAGGAAAGGCTATTATCAAACAGAATCAAAGAAATACTACTTCTGGGAACAGTACACAAATGTTCTTCAGCTGTGCTTCACTGCCTATGGCCTGAGGCCACCAGGAGACCAATAAAGGTTGGAGCTCAAGAACACCAACTCAGATCCAAGACTTCTCCCTGGCACTCAGCCATGAAGCTCCTTTTTCCCATCTTTGCAAGCCTCATGCTACAGTCCCAGGTGAACACAGGTAATGTGGAATCCTGGGTTTGAGAGATCAGTGTGAAGAAGCAGGGATTTGGCTGTCCATGCCAACGGGAACAAGTACCCAAAGAGATGACTGAAGATCTTACCTACTGCATCAATAGTGCAGGAACCCCATGAACTCCCAAAAGCCCCTAGCTCTAGACTGTGTCTGATGGAGACACCCCAGGAGCTACAGAGAAAAAGGGTGCTTTCACTATGAACTCAGAAACTATCCAATATAGAAAGCTGATTTCCATGCCCTGTACATAGCTATCATTCTGAGACTCAGCCCAAGTCTATTTCATTTTATTTGTATTTCTAGTCTAAACGATCTCTTTTTTTTTTTTTTTTTTCAATTGTGATTTGGGTGAAAGTTTACAGGGCAAATTCATTTTCCATACAGCAGTTCATACACATTGTGTTTCATTATACTGACTGTAATTCCTCACAATGTAATCTCTTCTCCCACTTCCTCCCTGTAGTTACCTCTTCTCTGTGCCCTTCTTTCTTTTGCATTCCTGTCCCCTGAACTATCTCCCTGTACAAACTCTGCCATTCAGTTCTCCCACGATTGGTCATCTAAACCATCTCTTGAAGCAAGTGTTCGTATCAGTTTGCACCTTGCTGTAGTAAGGAGGAAGTCCTTACCCTTTTACTCAAGAAGAGATCCTCTTGGAATCTAGTGAACAAATCTGTTATTCTCTCATCTTTTCCAGATTTTACAGTTTCATCTGCTTCTCTCAGCCTTTGTCTTCATGAAACCCCTAAAATTACCATAAGGGCAGCTATGAACACATTATGGCAAAAGGATGAACTAGAGGATCGGCCATTGTTTTGGGAAAAGAAGGGAGAAATGTTGAGACTTGCCTCAAAGAATTTTTCTGTTTTGTCTTTGGTGGCAAAATAATGTGGAAGTGTTTATGAACATGGAGGTACTACATAAATCTGTTGTTATTACAGAAAATGAGTTGAATTAAGATGGTTAGGGGAGAAGAGCTTTCTTGATTCAGAAAAGGTGAGACATTGGGATGGAAAAATACACTAGATGACGATGAGGGACTAAGCTGAGCAGGGGATGTAGAGCTGTAGATGGCAATGTGGGAGTTACCATGACAGAGATAACATTAAGGCCATGATCAGGAATAAGACCTCTGAGGGACAAAGTGTCCAGATAAGCTGAAATTATAGAACATCATGCCCTAAGAACCATGTGCTGAGCAACTAACTGTCAAAGAGGGAGAGGACAGGGGCCACTGGGTCTAGCAAAAGACAGTACTCCTAAAAGTCATGATGACTCTCTCCCAAATTCTTGATTGGATTAACTTTGTGACAGAGTTTTACTCCTGTTAACATTTCCTAGGATAATGGGGATGGGATGGTCATGGTTTACAAGTGTTAAAGATGCTAAGTTGAGGGGTGAAAAATCCTATCCTAAAGCAAATAACTGGGCTCCCTACTCTTCCTTCACCTATGTGTACTAGTTCTTTTAACGTGACTCAAGGAAAGGAAACTAAAATGGAGATTTAATCTTGGAGATGTGTGGAGGCTCTCTTGGTCTGCCTAGGTTTCCATGAACATCACTAAACACAGAACTTAAAATATAGTATTACAAAATTCCAGTTACTCTAATTCTCTCCCTCCAGCAGTTTTGACATTATATCTGGTTATTAACCTTTGCCCAATGCCATTCCCTTTTCTTCTTGCAGAATTCTTTGGCTGGAAAAAGTGTTTAATGGGTTTTGGGAAATGCAAGGACCACTGCACCATGGGGGAAAAACAAGTAGACACATGTAAGAAGAAAAAATGTTGTGTTGGACCAAAAGTGGTTCAAATGATAAGACACTTCATCCAATCTGAAATGCTTAACATATTTGAAGAGAACTCCCAAGGACTTCTAAAAAATTTCAAGAATTCTGATCCTGTGATACCAATGAAATATCATATTTTATCTGTTCTCCCCAAAATCATAAACATTGATCCCTCTATTAATACCAACACTGTCATCATCACAAATCCCACCACTTTGAACTTCACCAGGACCGACACTGCTACTTCTACCAAGAGTGACAGCACAGAAAGGAGAGATTCTGCCATTGCTTTCACACCACCACCAGCAGCACCACCACCACCATAGACACTGTCAACACCACAACCGGAGCTGGAAGAAGCTGCTGAGCAGGCCCTTCCCATAAAACATCAAGTTCTTCTCTGTCTTCTTTGTCTATAAAATGAAACAAAGAACTACGTCCTCTGTCATCAGTTATTCAATAAACTGTTTAAGTACCTGCAGCGTACATAATGTTATCTTTCTCACAAAAGGCTCACAGAGAAAGTAGAGCTAGGGAAGGATGGAATTTTAAGTTTAGATGACCAAGAGAAAGTATACACCAGGAAAGAGAAGCATTGAATTTGGCCTATGGCCTAGATTAAGCTTCTGTAATAGTATTTATGACTGTCATATACGTGTTTTCTTGGGGCAACAGGAAAGAAAGAGTGGAGGATTTTTTTCCCACAGATTCTGGGGGTCCATATGCAAAACAGAACGTGAGAAACCAAGTGTCCACCTTCTCCACTGAAGAATATAGCCCAATTCATGAAGCCATTTAATACAAGAATACAGGGAGGAAGAGAGGGTGAAAGTGGGTAGACGTCCTATCTCTGAACCAAGGAGTTTTCAACAAGATTTCCAAAGGAACAACAAGCAATGGGTTAAAGTAGGGCTTTCCAATAGAAACACAATGCAGACCACAAATGTAAAAACTGTGTATGTAATTGTTAATTTTCTAGTAGACTCATTTTTTCTCTTTTATTATTATTTTTATGGTGTTTTAGGTGCAAGTTTACAGACCAGAGTTTGTTTTATATTCAGCATTTCGTGTACATTTGGTTTCACTCCCCAATCACCATTCCCAACCCAATCCCACTCCCCTCCCCTCCTTGCCCAGTAAGCCCCGCCCCGTGCCCCTCATAGTTATGCACTGCTGTGTGTCCTGCATTTCCTCCGTGCGAATGTTGCCCCTCTGGTGCCCCGTGGTCGATTGCTCCAAGGGATGCATCTCTATAGAGTATGTGGGTGTGTTACCCTTGGTTGAGTGTTCTGCATGTATGTCTTGTTTACTATTGGGCTGAAAGCCAGCCACTGGGAGTGAGTTTTATTTCAGGCCCAAAGTGTATCCCAGGACCATAGTATCGGGTGTCCCACCAGAGTCCATCTGACCAGTAATTCTGGTCATTATTGTAGTTTTCCAGTTGTTGTTATGTGCCATCCAGTCGGACCTGACTTATAGCGACCCCTCCTTGGTTTCCTAGGCAGTATCACTATGGAAGTAGGTTGCCCCATCTTCCTTCCGAGGAATGGCTGGTGGATTTGAACTGCTAGCCTTCTGGATAGCAGTCAAGTGCCTTAGGCATTATGCTACCAGAGCTCCTAATTTTCTAGTAGACTCATTTTGAAAAGCAAAAAGAAATAAGCACAATTAATTCTAATAACATATTATCTTTATTACAATAAATTCAAAATATAATACCAATTTTTAATCAATATAAAATTATTTATGAGATATCTTACATTCTTTTTTGTACGAAAAGTCTTCAAAATCTCATTTTACTTTACACTTACAGCAAATCTCAATTGCGACTAGCCACACTTCAAGTGCCTGATAGCTATATCAAGGCTACTGGCTACCATATTGGAAAGCATATGTTAGAGACTTTTGAAGTCACAAATAGCTATAGGACTGTTAGGCAAAGGGGATGATGCTAATCCAGGGAAGACAGCCATGTTTCTGAGGACTGAAGTATAGAATCTAAGAGCAGGGTGATTCAGAGCTGATGCTTCCCAGTTAACATGATGATTCGAACAGCACTTTGAATTGTGTGACCTGAAACAGATCACTCATCCATGTATGAGCATGAGTTTATTCATTCATAAAATGGAGGTGTAAATATTTTATTTCAGAATGTATGTAGCAATCTTCAGGTAACACTTCTTTCTGATGCCCAAATGTAATAGTATGGGCCTCTATTCCAGCTTTTTAATATCTTCTCTCTGCTACATATCACCTTCTTTCATGAAGAGACCAAGCCTACTGGTTCTCTACCCTGCACAGGGTCTTCCTAAGTAAAGGTGAAGATTTTTCTGCAGTGCCTCACAGTGATACTAGATAGAGTACAACTTTTTAATATATTTTCCTGCATATTTTTGTGCAACAGAAAAGAGTTGCAACACAAAGACCAATTTCAACTCCTTCTAGCTGTGTCTCTCCTGAGGGATCCCAAGACCATGTGTGAGAATTAGATTCTTCATGTGCTACACCTGTACACCAAATGCTGGAGTATCCAGCTTACCTTTCTATAGATGAGGGGCTCTCTTCCATATATACCCACAGAAGAAGAGAGTATTTCCTTCTTACCCAAGTTAAAAACCTTCCTTTGAGTCCTCTTTTCTTGTTACAGAACCTGTTCAGCGCTACTCAGAATCAATGACACTGGGGAATATCCTTTTCCTTCAAGGAGATTCCACACCCTCTGTGACAAAAAAAAAAAAAAAAAAAAAGGTACGTCTCAAATATCTGTTCTCTCCTTTCACTACAGCAACAAAACCCTCCAAATGCCAGCTTGGCACAAAGCCAACCAGAGTAAAGGCTACATTTCCCAGCCTTCCTTGCACCTCATGGTGTGAGAAACCCTTTTTCTCCTTCCTGCTGCATGATGATGGCAGACAGTGAAACAGCTGTAATATAGACACTAATGAGCAAGGGTTTCTATGACAGCCCTTGACCATCTTGGTCTATGTGAGAGAAAAATAAGTTTTGCTAAAGTTTAAACTGCTATTATTTTGAATTTCCTACTACTCACATTTGAAACAAATATACCCAACCAGCCATATGATCCCAAAACAATATGGTCTGGAATTAGTATATTCTGGGTTATTCAGTCTTAGCACTATGATGAGACACAATCTGTGATGACCTTGGCCAGGCAATTCCTAGTATTTTTCATGGTCGTCTTCCAGTATACAGAGGAGAATCTGCTTGTGTGTCCTTCCTGACCAGCCTATCCAGCTCAGCAAAATATTCCCTACAAAGAACTTGTCAAAAGATCTACAGATATTCATATACACAATACTACATTATCAATAATAACAAACATTAATGTATGGGTAGATACATATGCAAACAGGCTGAATGACTAGGCCAAAGGAAATATACGTCTAGGCCAAAGGGAATATACCCATGACCATATATAAGTTTGGCAGATGGTATTTCTACATACATATTTGTGTATGTTATAAGGATGTCCATATATGTCATAGAGCTAACAGAGGACAAAGTTATAACAACTTCTCAGCTACAGCCAACCACTCTGAGGGAACAAGTAGTTAGAGCGGTGGGCTCAGGATCATAGTCACAGGGACATCAAGTTCAATTGGCCTAACACACCACATGAAAACATTGTTCTACATCCTACTTTGGTGAGTAGTGACTAGATCTTAAAAACTTGCAAGTGACCATCTAGATGCAACCATGGGTCTTTCCTCATCCACAGCAAAGAAGAATGAAGGAAACCAAAGATGCATGGAAATAATTAGTCCAAGGGACTAGTGGACCATGAGAACCTCAGCCTATGTGACCATGAGACCAGAGGATCTAGATGGTGCCCAGCTACCACTGTTAACCACTCAGAAAAGGATCAGTGCAGGAGTTCCTGAATAGAGTGGGAGAAATGTGGAACAAAACTTGAAATCATAAAAAAGACCAGGTTTACTGGTCTGATAAAGCCTAGTAAGACACCCGACACTATGGCCCCTAGTTACCCTTCAGGTCTAGAATTGAACTCACTCCCCATAGCTTCCAGCCAAACAATAGACAGACATATAGGGTGAACATTTACATCAGGTGGATACACTCCTCAGAACAATCAACCATGGGAGAACAGAAGGGCAGTATTTGCACAGGGAGATAGCTCAAGGGGCAGGAATGCATAGGGAAGAAGGACACAGGGAAGAGGTAACTACAGGGAGGAAGTGGGAAGACAGATGTTACAACGTGGGAATTACAGTCAATGCCATGAAACAAACTGTATATGAACTGGTATATGGAAAATGAATTTGCTCTGTAAACTTTCTCCCAAATTACAATAAAAATTTTAAAAAAAAAGAAAAGTTTGTAAGTGACCATCTAAGATGCAACAATGGGTCTCTCCTCATCCAGAGAAAAGAAGAATGAAGGAAACCAAAGACACATAGAAACAATTAGTCTAAGGAACTAGTAGACCATGCAAACCTCAGCCTACATGATCCTGAGACGAGAAAAGCTAGATGGTGCCCAGCTACCACTATCAACCACTCAGAAAGGGATTAAAATAGGAAGCCCTGGACAGAGTGGGGGAAAATGTGGAACAGAACTCAAAATCATATAAAAGACCAGGTTTACTGGTCTGATAGAGACTGGTGGAACTCCGGAGACTATGGACCCTTCAGGCCTGGAATTGAACTCACTCCTGTGGCTTCCAGGCAAACAATAGGCACATAAGGTGAACATTTATACCAGGTAGCTATACTCCTTAGAACAATCAACCATGGGAGATCAGAGGGGCAGTATTTGCATAGGAGATGACTCAGAGGGCAGGAATGTACAGGAAAGAGGGACACAGGGAAAAGGTAACCACAGGGAGGAAGTGGGGAAAGAGCTGTTACATTATGGGGATCGCAATCAATGTCATGAAACAAAATCTGTATGAACTGCTATATGGAAAATGAATTTCACCCAAATCGCAATTAAAAAAAAAAAAAAAATCTCCAGAGCTACAGGAAGTGGAACAAGATGGCCACATAAGAAGCTTCATGTTCTCATCTTCCCACAACAAAACCACGAGATATTGGTGGAATCAATGGTCTCAGAAATCTGGAAACCACTCAGAGTGACAGTATCTAAGGGAACACTGAATCAAGAAAAAGACGACAGAGAAACAGTAGGAGCACATCGGTTCTCCACCCATCCACACACCATCCCCTCCCTGACTTGACACAGCCATCTTAGGGTGGCTGCAGAGGCCAGCACTTCTAGCACAGGGAGCCTATCATTAAAGCAGCAACAAGCACTCCCAGATAGAGAGCATGGTGAAAGACTGCATCTTTCAACAATTTTTTTTATAAAAAGGAGTGAACTCTGGAAACAA